CTTCCCCCAACCCCTCAGCCTATTCCTTCCTCTCCCCCACCTCCTCCCTTCCCCTCCCAGCGCCCCATCCAATTCCTGTGCCATCACCTCTCGGCCTTCCCCCAACCCCTCAGCCTATTCCTTCCTCCCCCCCCCACCTCATCCCTTCCCCTCCCAGCGCCCCATCCAGTTCCTGTGCCATCACCTCTCGGCCTTTCCCCAGCCCCTCAGCCTATTCCTCCCCCCCACACCTCATCCCTTCCCCTCCCAGCGCCTCATCCAATTCCTGTGCCCCCACCTCTCAGCCTTCCTCTCAGCCTATTCCTTCCTCTCCCCCACTTCCCCGGCATCCCCCACCTCATCCCTTCCCCTCCCAGCGCCCTATCCAATTCCTGTGCCATCATCTCTCAGCCTTCCCCTAGCCCTTTAGCCTATTCCTCCCCCCCACACACACTTTCCCGGCGTCCCATCCTATTCCTTGCCACTCCCCGCTGAGCCCCCAGTCTTCCCCCTGGCCCCTCCATCCCATTCACTTCCTCCCTATCCCATTGCTTTCCCCTCCCACACCTCCCCTGCCTTTCCCCTAGAGCTCCCCTTTCTTGCCCCTGATGGGTGTCCGGAAGGAGGAAGTGAGGCAGCTAACATAACCGGCAAGAGAGTTGCTGATCTCAGTGCCCTCTCCTGCTGGTGGGTGAAAATTTGGCTTTGTGTGCCTTAGTTTCCCTTGACTTAAGGGGGTGCCTGCACTTCTGCCTTGTTTGCTTCACAGTGGCAGACAGAGAAGCAAGTCTGTGGCTAAAATAAAATAACTGCCAGCGGTAAAATATTTACTCTTGCAAAATATTACTTCCCCCAGATCTAGTGCGAGTTGTTCCTACAAGTCTTAAGAATGACTCTGTGGACTGCCAGCCCAGCGCTGCAGCCTCTTCCCTGGATCAAGTTGTGTTCTCTATGCCTCTAATAATACCTCCAGCAAAAGATTTTGCAGTCTGAAAGTGGCTAATAAATCTGATGATGCCTGTGGCAGAATAGACTCCAGCTTGCTTTTCTATAGCTACATGGGCTCTGCCTGGCTCATAGGACAGAAAGCAAGTTTTATCATGAGCCATGACTTGAAGACTTGCAGGGAGTAGTTGTTTTGAGTAAGAAGGGGGTGGATGTTGTTTTACAGGTCTTTTCCAACTGTAACTATACTTTGAAATCTTACACATCACTTTAGCAGCTCTCCCTCAGTTCAGATTATAATCACAGTTCAGCCTGGACTAATTAATCACTTTATAATTGTTAAATATAAGACTTGCACTTTTAACCTTAAAAAAAACCACACACACATTAGGTTAAAAAAATGTCAAAAACAGGCTTAACAAGTTTTTATCTGTTCTATAAATTACCAGGCAAAGATTCTTAAACCAGTGTTAAACTGAACCTAGTTTAGCAATATCAACTAACAGACTTTGTGCCTGATTTTCATTTACACTGAGGCCCTTTATATTTTGACTGATTTTCATTTACTTATCAGGCTGTTTTTAAGGCTCCATCTGTAGTTCATTTACAGCCAAGTTAAGGGACCTGGTTAACTTGGTTCTGTAACTAGCCTAATGCAGTTGCTGAACACAGAAAACTTTGTGTTTAAAAAAAAAAAAAAATCTTAAAAACAACTGTTTGACAGAGCACCCTTTAAAAAAAAATAACATGCTATTTAAAGTATTTCTTTAAAATGTTATGGAAAGGATTTTCTGCTCCCCTGGTGACTTTTTTTTTTTATAAGTGTCTCCTTAGCAAGGGAAATAGGGAAAATAACCATACAAAGTGCTGTCAATTGCACAAAGTGAACTAACTGAAAAAAGAGAGATTTTTCCCCTCCTAATTTTGTACCTACTACAATTGTTTTCCAACAGAATTGTGATTTTTCACGTTTGTGTCCCATTAAGATCTGAACTATGTTACAAATTAGAACTATTTGAACCGGTTTCTAGATGCAGTTGTAGTGTGGATAGGACCTCAAGTATCATATTGTTTTAGCTAGCATGGTTTGTTTGGGGACATAAACAAAATTAAATATAAGAATCATTGCTCTGGCAGGGTAAAAGGTCCACTTGTTGGAGGTGGTTTAATTATGCCGATGGGAGAGCTCTCGCCCATCAGGATAGAGCGGCTACACGAGCGATCTTACTGTGGCACAGCTGCATCCATACAGCTGTGCTGCTGTAAGCTCACTAGTGTAAACATGGCCTTAGTGTCTTCTTGCTTCAGCCATCTGAGCTCATACATTTATGTAACTGAGGAGGTATGAAGTCTACCTGTATATTCATACACACCACATCTATCTTTAAGTGCACAACTGACAGCATAAGGGAATACACTACTTTTAGTGCTCAATCCTGCAGTTTCAAACATTATAACTATTAAACACGAGCTTTTAAAAACTTAGCAAAGTACTTACTGGTCACTAAGGTCAGTTAGCATACCAACTTTGAAGTTTCAAGCTTCAGTCATGTGAGTTATTCTGAAAAAGGTAATCAAAACTTTTTTTAAGAATGAAGTGCGGAGGGGAGCTGTTTACCCTAAACAAAATCCTTTCAGCTAATTGATTTGAAACTTAATTTATTTTATTCTATCACCTCTGGGAGGGACCAGTCATGTGACATGTCAGTCCCAAAGGTGAATGTTTCAGAAACTAATGAACATAGGTAGAAGAGGGGATTAGAATGGAAACTGCTTTGTGATTGCTATAGGAATTTGGTGACAATTTCTTAGCTGAAAAATTCCAGAAGTCCTGTACGTTCACTGGCTCTGGTACTTACTGATTTAATGAACACTTGAACAATCAAGCATAGTGAAAGTATGGATGCAGATACAAAATGCAGTCAGAAATACATGGCTAACATTCCAAATCTGGACACAAGATTCATTTCTGCAGTATTTAATAGGCTGGTGTCCATTGTCACACTTAAATGTCTTTTCTCTAAGATGTAATGTATGCATCATGTTGATAGCACTAAATTGAGAAAAACAGCCAAGAATGCTATGGGTGCAAGATTGAAGTATTTCAGTGTTCTGGCACACAACAAACTTAATGAGTCTTTTTCAAGAGCATCCTCCTTGAAATAATATTCTCTTGGCTCACAGCCCCTTTTTTTTTCTTAGCAGCAGCTTGACCTAAC